AGACGAGAAATAATTGTCAACAAAGCGCGTGCGGAACATGCTTAGTGCCGTTTCTTTCGTACTTTGCCATTTTTTCATGTAAACAAACCAAAGAGATGTCGTTAAAGCGGAATTAAGATCTTGCAAAAATACAGATGCAACTGAATTTCTTTATCTTTAAAAAAAACAAGACACTAACCCTATCCCTCGGATGGTATGCGAGGACTAACCCAAATCTCCCGGGCGGATGCTAGACTAACCCATGTGCGAGGACTAACCCTAATCTCTCGGATGGATGCGAGACTTACCCTAATCAGTTGAAAACTTGTGCAAGGACTAACCCTATTCTCTCAGGTGGGCGCAAGACTAACCCTAACCAGTCAAAAAATGTGCAAGACTAACCCTTATCAGTTGAGTGACGTAAATCTTACGTCATAATGCAATGAGCGCGCGGATCTTGCGGATCTGGGGACCGGTAAAGTAAAGTCTACCCCCCCCCCCAAAAAAAAAAAAAAAAAAAAAAAAATCCTGCTTATTCATGCCAGACAAGGTAATATGATCTTCCTCATTTATGAATTCTTTAATTGTCGGAATCCACTCCTGTACTTTTTAATTTTAACAAACTCTCTTCCTGTGGAAAGATGAATAATAATTAACTCCGAGGTATTTTTAACGCCCTTCTTCATTCGACTGATTTTTTTTACTAATATCTTCGTTGATCGGACACATGAAAGGGCCATACAAATGCATGTTCTTGCTTTTAAACATTATGCTTTAAAAAATACCTGCGAACATGGACTTTTTTTTAACATGATCTAAAAAAAAAAAAAAAAAATTTGCGTCAGAAAAAACCTGAAGCTTCCCTCTATTAAAAGAAGAAGGTACGGTTTTGGCTTTATTGTGCCCTAAAAAAAATATTGTTTTCAAAAAGTTTCGAGACCGGTATAAATATGAGTTGAGTATATGACTGTAATAAATCAGGAAAGAATATACCATAAAGGAGGACCATTCTGGAAATATGACGTCAGTATTTTGATACATTTCTCTGTTATAAGCAGAAATAGCCTCAAAATGGCCCTTTTCTGGGGTTATTTTCAGTAAGAAAATAGTGTCCACAGCCGTCGCTTACTTTAATTTTCGAATATGTTGTGTAACATTCTTTGAAAAATCACATATCTCAAAATTTTTGTGGGAGATGTATGTCGTCTATATCTGAAAGAAAATTTTATTGAAAATTTATGTCTTCTGCAACTTTTTTTCAGAAAATACGGGAAAATGCACAAGTTCATGACGTCATTTTTAGCATTTAAAAGGTCATGCGAGAAAAATGATTTGTGTAATCTTTCCGCATGGACTTTCAATGATTCAGAATGCATGAGTTTTAATTTTTTACATCACTTTCATATTTCAGAAAAATACAGGGCAAGATCTGTGTTTAAACCGTACCTTGTCCTTAGGGGTGCTTTTGTGCACATGTATTCATCCGGTGACTTTTCATCCGATACACAGGTCTTTTGAGCGCTCCGTACTTCAGTTTCTTTCCCTTAAGGATTCTTCTTTTGGAAGTATGCATTTGTGCACTTGTAACAAACAATTCATTTTTCTAAAGATATGATGAGTTGGTGTTTTTTTCAATAACGGACTAGAAATGATTTTCATTGATCAAAAAATCTCTCGTATCTTCCAAGTCAATGAACGGAGCACTTATGTATACTTAGGAACAAGGGCAAATGTATATTATATACCCACAGTAATTTAAATTTTAAAATTATGTACTTATGAGACACATGCAGAGAGTGCAAGCTTTATGCTACAGGACTTCAATATAAATTGATAGATACCGAAAAAAAATCAAACAAAATGGACTGAAAATCTTAACAAATCTTAATCATAAAAAAGATTTAATTACCCATTTGAAATATGATTTGACCATTGATAGCTCGCAGACAATAGACACAATGCCACATAGGTGTGCTCAAAGCGTGAAAGTGAATGTAAATGTCTAGTATAACTCTTTACATCGACCATATTTACGACAGCTTGAAACATCAATGCGCTCATATAAAAAATGGGCTTGCAAAATGAGGGTGTGGCCTAAAGTTTATGAGAAATCGATGTAAACAACATACCCCTGCTATATTAATCACATAAATACCTAATTACAATGCAAGGAAGTAAAAATTGAAATTAATAACCTACAATGTTTGATGGAAAGATTGAGGCAAAAATATGTAGAAAATCTTTATTTTATTTTTTTTTTTGTAAATTATCAGGGGGCCAGATTTGGTCGTTTGAACGATTCATCCTTTGACAGTAAAAGACCTTTCATCTTCATAAATTTATGAAGGAATGATAGAAAATATACGTCATTAAGAGTTGTCTCTCTTATCAAAGTATCAACGAACCTTCAGAAAGAAACACTTTTTGATTGCCTAAAATAAAGTATTCCCAGGCAAACTCTGATTTCGGATTGAAATCCCTCCCCCTTTCGCCCAAAATATTCGAAAACCTGAAAAATTTGTACAAGCTCATCCCTGTACGTTTTTCCTAGGTATCGGAGTTTTCATGGCACCTGATCCCGCCTCTGATGTTTTTGGAGGTCAATGTTTGCTCTGCTCCCGATTTGTGTTGTTTAAATGGACTTTGAGCTTGAATACTGTTTTTTATCTCTATATTTCATTTAAAATATAATTTTGATGATACATTTTAATAGGGCTGGGCAATAATAACAATGTTCCTGTATATTGCGGTATGTTGACAAAAAATATCGTATTGCAGTATGTTTACGTAATACCGATAAACTGGCAATATGTTTGGATTCAGGAATTCTATCATACTGTATAAAGTATAAGTTGTCAGAAAGGTCTGTGATCAAACAGTAAGACAGCAGGACAAAACCTGTTATGTGGGTGTATTTCATTGCATAACTGTAATTAAATCAGCAAGATACTTCTTAATTCGAATTCTCAATTACCATACTTATGTTACTTACGTACATTCTCAATGAAATATGTGGAGATAACAAACAGTATTCGAGCTCAAAAGCCCATGAAACATTACAAAATAGGAACAGAGCAAACACGGACCTCTAAGACATCAGAGGTGGGATCAGGTGCCATGAAGGAGTGAGCATCCCCTGCCGACTGGTCATACCCGCCATGTGCTCCTTGTCATATTCGGGAAACAACAAAAAATCCGTCGACAATTCAGTGTGTAAATAATGACCTAACAATAAGTATGAAAAAGTAAGCCAGCATTTGACTTAATGATAGATTGTATTTGCTGACAAGGTCATTGTATCGACTATAGGACTTACGAAATGATGACTTTAAACGAGATTGCTGATATTTTTGTTTCATCAACTTGTTTGTCAATAACCTACCTCGTTTTAGAAATTGTTCATACGTAGAACATGTTCTGGCGTATCGAATCAGCTGAAAGATATAAACCTAGTATGCAGGTGATAAGGGTTTATTGCTGCATAAATATGGGAAGTTGACGATTGAAGAGTTAAAGTAATCACGTTCATTATAAAGCTTGGTTGGTAGATTACCATTAACGTCTTTTTCTAATAAAATATCCAAATATGAAACAGATGTGTCAGACTCTGTTGTATCTTTTATCTCAAGCTCACCGGGATATATCGTGTCGACATAAGAATAGAAATAACCTTTGTTAATTGACAATACGTCGTCGATATATCTAAATGTCGAGTTGAAGACCACGGCAAGTGTTTTCTTCTTTTCACGTAAAAGATTTTGAACAAATTCTGCTTCATATGAATACATAAATAGGTCTGCTAATAACGGGGCGCAATTGGTATCCATGGGAATTCCAACAGATTGTTGGAAGATCTGGTCTCCAAAAACCACATGGATATTATCAATAGAAACTCGAGCATCTTTTTAATGTCAACTTCAGAGTACTTGTGTGTACAATCAGATTGTTTTTAACAAAATAAGTTTGCAAATGACAAATGACAAGGTAAGTAAATTTACGAGTTCCATTTTTATTGAAAAAACAGATGTCAACGATGTCAGAAAGTCTGGACTTTCATTTATCATGGGGAATAGTCGTATATAAAGTTGAAAAATCGTAAGTTTTTATGTTTTTATTTTGGTAAAATTTTGTGATTTCAAATGTTCCAAAAGTTCCTTGGAATTTTTGTAGTATCCGCATCTGATTTACACCACTTCTCGAATATATTGTTGCACAGTACTCTTGAAGTTTCTCCTTTACTACTGTTAATATCTTAGCGAGGAGTAAAGAAAGAGGCTTGGTAGAACATTTACTGAAACCTGCTAAGTATCTTTGTTTGTAAGGATTTTTATGAAGTTTCGGAAACCAATATAGATATGGTTTTGAAGAATTTCCTCCTTAGAAAGGGAGCTATGGGTATAAATTTGATTTCCACTTGAAGAATCAAATTCCATTTCCTCTAAATTGCAATTTATATAATGAGCCTTACAAACAAGGACAATGTTGTGAATGTAAAAGGAAGTTAATATAATAAGATAATACCATTTAAATTTTTAATTAAAATATTGCAATACATATCGCAATACAGTCCAAAATATCACAATATTTCGCATTAAAAATATCTAGTCAATACCCAGTTCTACATTTTCATATAAAAGCATCTATTAATTTAAAGAATTGATGCGGTTATTTTATGAGGAAAACTTGGTTCAGCCAGATAATAAGATAAGGATCAGGCCCCACCGCCATAAAACTTTAAGAATTCTCAAAAAAATTCTCAACTCAAGTCTTGAGAATTACCCAGCTAAGAATATTCTTAAATTCACTGCCATAAAACGATTTGAGAATATTCTCAGCTGAGTAATTCTCAAGACTTGAGTTGAGAATTTTCTCAAGATTTTTTTCTCGCGAGACTGTTTTCGCGGATTTTTTTCGCTGATTGAAGCGGCCCAGAGGAGTTCTTTTTTTGTCTAAAGGTAAGAAACCACATTGGTTACATGTAAATAACACGTTTCGTCTGCTTTTGGGGGGTAAAATCTATCATGGAAGAGAGTCAACGTAGTCAAAAGAAACGCTCACAAAATTGGGGAGATGACGAAGAAGTTACTCTTATTGAGGAAGTGAAATTAAGATCAGATGCCTTGTTCGGGTTGATGAGAGGGAGAGGGGCAAAAGGGAAATTAAAAGAAAAGGAGTGGCAAATGATTGCTGATAAACTAATTTCGTTAGTATAGACCTAGTATATGTTTCTGAAATTCAAATGTAACATTATACTCGAACAGATATCGTATTGGAAGTACACTTACGTGCATGTTACCAGTATGTGTGCCTCTCCGCAACATTACGTGTATACTATATCATATACACAAGTTTAAGTATACATGTACATAAAACAGATATATGCTACAACGGTAAATATCCTGTTGTTTTATAAAATGGGTAATAAACTGAATAAAACACAACGCACGCACATAAAATTACCGTGATTTTTTTTTTAATGGTACATATTGGTTTTTTCCCTATCTATTTTTAGATCCGTTTGTATGTTTAAGCATGGAGTGGATCACTAATCAATATTCTTTATGTAATATTGTAGACAATTTGATTCAAAAAGAAGAAGCTGGGAGGAAGTGAAGAAAAAGTACTATAATTTGAAATCTAGAAGTAAGTACATGTATGCATAAAGCCATTGAAGAGGGAGGGGGGGGGTTACTTAGATTCAATTTTTTTTTTTATTTTTCATTTCCATGGGCAAGCAGTTTTCTATTTACATAAATAGGATCAAGGGTCCTATGCCCAGAGATGTAAATCTGTGTATCATATTAGCCCAGCCCTGAGGTCTTTCTTAAAACAAATTATGTTGAAGACTAATTTACAATGTATAATATTCCATGCAATGAAATTAAGAAACAGCAACTACCTAACATTTTGAACTATACTGAATTTATTAATCTCTTCACAATTTTACAATTATACTCAGAGATGTACATTAGTTTTTTATTAATGTATATCTCTGAATACAATTGTAAAATTGTGAAGAGATTAATAAATTAACAATGGTGGCAAATAAGACAAATGTTTTATAGCATGCGAGAGTGTGAGGATAGACAAATAATACAATTTTACATATAATAGGTATATATATTGACACAATTCAGTGAAAAGTGAATGAATTCCAACAAAATTGTAAGGGTATTAACAACTTGATAATATATTTAAAAATTTATTTTAGAAATATTTCTATTTTATACTGTGATTAAATGAATGTATGATATATATTTGAAAATGTATAATAATTATAATATTTGATGATTTATTTTTTAGAATCTTTTTTTTTCTTTTCTGAGTTATATCTTTTAATTAAAGGCAAAGAAAAGCTTGATGGGTTAATGCAGCCCAAAACTGGTGGTGGCCCCCCTCTTCCACCACTTACACAGGGAGAGGAAACATTTCTCCGCCTTGCAGATGGAGAACCAAATCTTTGTGGTGTACCAGGAGGGATTGATACAGATGGTATGGTTAACAAGTTAGTTATGCATGGGAATGAAACATCACATTGAATCTTTGGAAGAGAAAGAAATAAAAGGCAGAAAAAGTTATGGTGTAAATCATCAAGTTGAATAAACAATTTAAGTGTTATTTATAATAATTTCAATCTCAAACATCAGTTTATTTTTTGAAATTACAGGAATTAGGATTATTAATATCTTGGTATTTATAGCTATATAGTGATTTTTTTCTTATAGATTTAAAGAGTATCGTAAATGAAGTTAATTATCTCAGACATTTCTTTAATTTTATAGCACCACATACTTCAGAATTGTTGGCAGATATGGCAGATACTGAATCAATAGCTGAAAATTCCCAACAAGGTAAATAATGCTGCAATATTTCATAATTACTGAAGTACATATTCTGTTGTGTCTATAAAATCATTAAATTTTTTTTGAAAAATTTCAAGAATAACTTCAGTTAATAGTAAGAGATGAATTAACTTATTGTTGCTTTTATATATATGTATATCTATCTATCTATCTATCTATCTATCAATCTATTTATATATATATATATATATATATATATATATATATATATATATATATATATATATATATATATATATATATATATATATATATATATATATATATATATATATATATATATATATATAATGCATACATCATATTGTGATAGCTTAATGAAATAAGAATGGATTTTCACAGTAGTATCACTACACCTGTTGATATAAAGGATACATGTATGAAATGATTGCTGTTAGTGATGGGCAATTGGATTTTTTTTCATAATCAATTAATCGGAATAATCAGATTCTCTATAATTGGTATTGAGTGATGTCTAAAATGCACTTTTGATGTATTTTGTATCATTGGATTCATTTATTATTACTTAATCCAGAGAAGACTGAATAAAAAAATCATAGGAATAATTGCTTTTAACTAATATTTTGTTTGATTGATTATCAAAATTATAATTGAATACCTATGATCGGGGATCATTTCGATTAGATAATTGATTTAATCGATGAATTGGTACATCACTAATTGCTGTAGCTACAATTAGTATTTCTTTGATTTCAGTTAAAAGTACATCGACTGAAAACCCATGTACATCAAAATCTCTGGAATTCAGCTCCAGTTCTTTGCAAGGTAAAACGAGTATTACATATGTGACATATGGCAGAGTATGTGCGTAGTCTTTGCAATCCCAAGTAAACTTGGCACCAAGTACTGTTAAGTGGAATTCAAATTTATTTAAATAAAGGGCCAGATTCTTTTAAAGTTTGTAGGAGAGATGATTAAACAAGAGGCCCATGGGCTACAACACTCCCATGAGTCACCTTTGCCCTGCTGTTCTTTGGAAGAAAATATTTTAAAAAAATATTCCTTATTCCCTTAAAAACCAAATGGAACAAAAACATAAGGTGAGGGATGTTGCCCATGGCTACTGGCTTATTGGTTTCTTTTTTATTCAAGATTGAGAGATTCGGGGGGCATATACTAAGTATCTTTTGGTCTGTCGGTTTGCTTGGCCACAAAAACTTTAGACTTGGCCATAACTTTTAAATGAATGATGTTAAGGCTTTCATATTTCACATGTATTTCTTGTGACAAGACCTACCATTTTGACCTCACAGATCATGACCTTGACCTCGGATTTTTACCTATTTTTGAAAATCTTTATCCTTGGCCATAAGCTGCCATAAAGGGGGTGTCAATGTGTAACAGGGTTTTCACGTGAATGAAGAAAACTTTGGTTGTTGTGTTTATAGGGTTCTTGTTTGTATCAATTTTGTTTCCACAGTGATAACCTTCAGTTCACAAAAAAGACAAATTTAAGTCATTAAGCTTTAATTTAAAAAAAAAATGAAATACATTTTTATAATGCTTTTTTTTTTCATTCAGGAAGACAAACAAAATCATCACAAAAAAAGAAAAGAGAGGTCTGTATATTTTTTTTCAATTTTATGTCAAATACTTCTACACATACATATGTACTACACCAAATAATTAAGATACTCTCTCTCTCTCTCTCTCTCTCTCTCTCTCTCTTTGCAACACAAATATGACCAATTGAACCTAATTTGTATGTTAATTAATACACCTCCACTTATTTTTCTTTTTAACATAAACAGTTTTATAAGTTTTCTTAACTAAATTAAGCAAAGAAGAAAATATGAAACAACAATCTCATCCAATGGATTAGCACAGACATGTATGTAGTACTCCTAACTGTGTATTTATATGCATTTCTGATAATTATTTTTTAACGTCTTCAGGTAATGAATCCAGAAAAAGGAAGATTGATGAATTAGAAGAGGCAAACTTAATTTTGGATAATAAAAGATTAGAAGAGGAAATTCTTAAAATTAAAGAAGAAAGGGAGGTTCTTGCATTGAAAAAAGACATTTTAGTACTGAAAAAACAGAAACTTGTTTTAGATATTCAGACCTCCTATCCTTGTTTTCTTGATGAAATGTAAATTTAAAATATGATTATCATGTATATTTAGTCAGCTTCTATAGTATTTGAAAAAAAAATGCATTAGCACATGTACTATCATTGTGAGAAATGTAGACAAAATTAAATTTTGATTTTAAGTGACATCTTGATCATGCATCAAGTTTTAGTTGTTTTGATCAATGGGGTTAGTGGTGTTAATACATGTACATGTATTGTAGATAACATTTAAAGAACCATTGTGTGATAGATGTGTCAAGACAGAGAGAGAGGGGTGGTGGTGGTGGTGGTGGGGAGATGTGTGTTAATAATTACTGGTGCACATGCCCGAGACGAAAGCTGCTGAGTCACAAAAAATTTTTGCTCTTAGTGAAAAGGAAAATTTGTTAGTTTTCCTCAAAATGTCTTTCTTAAAAGAAACCATTGGTGATGGCAATCCGTTTGGAAATACCCTCGTTTCTTGCAGGGGGAACAGGGCCATTGGCATTCACAATTTGCTGCAGACAGTTTCTAATGTTAATATCCCTGCAATCACTGGACACTATGGTGTCTCCCCTTTCTATCCCAATGTTATGCAGGATACTGCATGCAGTTATGTATACAACTGCTTGCTCTGGTGTAGATCTTATTCCAAAGTGAAGAGCTTGAAACTTTCTCTTAAGGATCCCAAATGTTTGTTCAATGAGAACACGGGTTCGGCAGAGACTTTCATTGAATCTTTCTTCAGCAGGTGCCTGTGTGGTCAAATATGGGGTCATCAAGTGCTTTGATAGAGGGTAGCCAGAATCTCCTAAAAGAAGACCATCATGGGCTCCTACAAAAAAGTTAGCAAATTTGACAGGACTTAGTGCAATCTAGTCATATGCATGGTCTTGTTTTTTTTTTTTTTTTTTTTTTTTTTTTTTACCAAGTTACCCTTTAATATAAAATAGTATAAAAGGACAGATTTAGGAGGGGGGAGTACCCCCCCCCCACCCATCAAATAAAAATTATTTCCCCAGAGTTGGAATGTTTTAGACGAGCAGATCTTAACTTTATCTATTTAATAACTGTTCAGAAAATTCTAAAGGGGCCATATCCCTCCCCAATCACTCCCCTGGATAAATTCACTAGTGGTATAGGGATGGTTAATTGATTTAGTATGCATGTTTCACATACCATTTTCAAACATTTGGAATAATTTAAGTTGAATTTTTCCATATCCTGGAGTCATGAGTACTCCCAGGCCACCTGGCGCACAAAGATGTTATTCTAAAATTAGGATCACAAACCATCTGAAAAAGATTTAAAAAAAAAAAAATATTTATATTGCTTACAAATGCCAGTGGAAATTAAACTTTATGTGCATTATAATACAGAACATCTTCTTTTATATTTTGTAATTAATTTAATTACCACTATAAGAATAATATTATGATAAACATGTAGTTGTTACCTGGATGTTCAAACTGTGAAAACCCTTTCTATTTACATAATCTGCTTCATTTTCCTTAGGGGTTGAGATTCTAACATGTGTGCAGTCAATGCACCCCAGTACTTTTGGAAAATCTACAGAAAAAAAATTAATTCAGGTAGGGATGGGCCACAAAATTAGATCAAAGTATAACCATGTAATATTGTGTGAATATTATTTTCATAAAAATAAGAATAGGAAAAAGTACACTAAGTATTTATTAAAAACATATTGATTTGATTGCAAATATTCCTATATTGTGTGGATTCTATTTTTTCTTCATATTATAGACCTTAATGTTACTGCTGGGATAAAATTTATCATAATGCATGTATGCAGGAAAAAATATATTTAAAAAAAAATTCCCAGAACAATAAGGCTAAAATGTGTTATATAGTCATTGACAATGAAGCAACCATGCTGTCAATTCAAGTGAAGGTATATCACATCCCATAGGGCTTGGGTGGGACCATGATATGGGTAAGATTTTATCATATGAAAATTTTTTTTCATATGATAAAGAGGATATTCTTAAGAACATTGAGCAGGGGCAATGTGACTCAGGTGAGCATTGAGGCCTATTGCCTGCTTGTAATATTTTTTGCATAAGCACTTGTTTCTAAAAGTACATGTTAATACAATGAAACAGTGTTGTTTGTTGGGTGTAATTGTACTTCTGTCTGAGTGTTGAATGTTGAAATATCTTGGATCCACCACTCATATTCCCAGTAGTTTCCCTTAGTTGGAACTCTCCATTGCAAAGCATAAGCGGACATTGACTGTGCAGTGTCAGGACTGCTAACGTTTGTTTTTATACACGATAAACATTATTTTTCTCTTAAAATGCTAAGATCCTCTAAATCTACAGAGTATGCAATCACAAAGAGGTGAGAAATATGTACAATTTAATTTAATAGCTTTTGAAAAATATGAGTGCTAGTTCATACGAAAAATATTGACTATTGAGATACGTGCAGGATGTATGAAAAGTCATCATCTTGAAATGCCAAGAATATGTGTATGAAGACCCACAGGAGGATACATACTTGATCATAAGATTAAAGATTTTGCCTTTTATTTTGAATACCACACGTGATTTGCAATGTATTAGACTACTTGTATACATGAAGTGTAGTCTTCCGAAATTGATATGCTTTATACATGTATGTATATATAAATGTTATTAAATTACTTCACAGATAATCAACTTCTAGCGTACCTGCCAATCTTCTAAAGCCTTCCTTCACTCTTAATGCCATCTCTCCTGTTGGAAAAGTGATGAATCTCCTGCAGAGGATGTTGATAAGTGCAGATGCAACACACTTGACTGTCCTGCCTACAGATGACGCAGAAACTCCTAAGCTATCTCCTACCAGTCTGAGATGAGCTCCTGTTGCCACAAATCTTAAAAAAAATAGCACTTGGAGGAGAGCAGGAATGGGCTGGTTCCTATTTGTGTCTGATTCCAAAGTGTCATGAAGCTCAGCGGTAATGAACAGTACAGTTTGTGGACGGAATCTGTATCTCTGGTAAACTTCTTCTTCTTCCAAATCTTCTAAAGGATTTCCACGGTCCCTAAACACTCTTGGATGTGGCAACAACCCTCGACGTCTACGATTTCTTCTGATTCTTCTGTGCACAGCGGCCATTTTGAGAAGTTGAGAATAGACTTAAGTAACCTTTTTTGTGTTCTCAAATATTTGAGAATAAAACTGATTCTGAGAATTTTTTTGTTACTCAACTTTTTTATGGCGGTGGTTGAGTCTGAGAATTGAGGAGTTGAGAAAATTCTCAGACTTGAGAACATTCTCAGACTTAAGTATGTTTTATGGCGGTGGGGCCAGAATCTATCAAATTCCTCCTCTTTGCCCCGGATGGAAAAAAAAGGTACACGAATTTTGTAGCAGACCGATATATGTAAAAATGTATTTTCAATCATTGTTTCTTTTCTAAGTTAATATCAAAAAATCTAACCGACAAATATCGAAGCACGTGAATGGAATATTCTTTTTTGGAATAATGCGCGATTGGCCTGGATTGAAAAGTTCCCATGTGACCTTATATTTAATGAAAATTTGTTATGTATTATAAGCAAACTTATTCAATGAAATTTTGCAATTCGTGTTTTACATTTCATAAGTCGATCATTATTTAAGAAAATGTCTTTCAACAGAGGGATGGATATGTGACTAAACGGACCTCAAAACCTAAACTAGTGAATGTGTAATTTTTCACAGCATTTATTCATTTGACCATTCTGGGTTTATATGGAAATTTTCTTACTCTTAATGGAATTACTATTTATAATCTCAGTAGAACTCAGTAGAACTCAGTAGAACTCGTAAATGTACTTACTTTGATAATGGTCATTTGCAAAATTATTTTACTAAACAAATTTTTGATTGTACACGCAAGTACTCCGAGGTTGATTTTACAAATCTGTTTCATATTTGGATATTTTACAAGAAAAAGACGTTAATTATAACCTTACAAAAAATAACTTTATCATTAACGTGATGACTTCGACTTTTCAATCATCAACTTTCCTTATTTATGTAGCAATATACCCTCATCACCTGCACATAGAGTTTATGTCTCCCAGTTGATACTCTAGGGCATGCTGTACGTACGAAGAATTTCTATAACCAAGGAATCTATTAACAAACACGTTGATGAAACAAGGATACTAAAAATCTCGTTTGAAGTCAACATTTCGCAAGTTCTCTGGTCGATACAATGACCTTTTTAGCAAATACAATCTATTATTTAGTCGAATGCTGACCAACGTTTTCATACTAATTGTTAGGCCATTATTTACACACTGAGTTGTCTACGGATTTTTTGATTGCCTGACCATGACCAAGAGAACACGGCGGATGTGACTGGTCCACAGGGGATGCTTACTCCTCCATGGCACCTCATCCCAACTCTGATGCTTTTAGACGCCCGTGTTTGCTCTGTTCCCTATTTGTTTGTTTCAATAAACTTTTGACCTTGGTTTCTGTTCGTTTTCTTCACATTCCTTATTTCTAAATGTCAAAACTAATCATTTAACATTATTTCCGCTATTTAAGAAGAGGTAAATAAAAAATTGGCCGTAAATTTAACTTTTCTGTCCCTGCTTTCACTGAAAGTTGGGAATATTAATTTCGGCATTTCCAGTTATCCGTCCTTCTGTTCTTCGAAATGTTATTTTGCCTGCGTGGAATATTTTCAGACTGTTATTTTGTCTGTGTGTTAACATTTTGTTTCTGAACAATATCTTAAAAAACCGATGAATTTTTTCAATGAAATTATATATCATAATTTCCTTTGGTCTAGAACAGACCCCTATTAAATAATTTGCAATTATAACAGTTAAAAGTATAAAACTACACCCAAACTTAAAATGCAAACATTGTATTCATTTTTGTCTATAGTTAAGTACCACACATCAAGATGTAAACAAGTAGCTGATCGCAGTGAAGTTTTCGATATGAATCATGTTAGAGAACTTTCAAGCATATTATGTGCGCTGATAGGTGGATCAAAATTTATTTAACAGTGAAAAAGCAATTAATTATTAAACAGAATTTTTGATAAAGATATTTAATCGACCACTCATTCCAATGCATAGCCTTTGTTTAATGCCATTGCTATTAAATCCCGATTTTTTTATGGGGACTTCGTTGATTTAGTGGTATGACGAATCCAACCAATTCATTTTCCCTACGAAATGCTACATGTATATAACTGATCATGTTTCTTCTTCAGCCACGAAATTAAAGCCCCTTAAAGTTATATTTTTACCTCGATCCTCGAAAATTTGACTCCCGAAAATATGTGATTTTACAGAATTCAATAAATATTTAGAGAGTGTATTGAATTTATTCCATAGCGTTTTGGGTTTTAAAATGACAGGTTGAGCATGGAAGTGCCCCGTTTAATTGTCTTTTCGCAAGAGTATACACAAAATGGATCTTGTCCATTTTTTGAAAATATAGATAAATGAAGTATTCCTTATCCTGAAAAGTTGTGCTGCTTTCGTGAAATTATGAATCACGAACGTTGCATAACAGATACACTAAATACTTGGTCAATGTCATGCATATTTCAACTTCAGCCACAATACTTGAAATTTGAGGTAAAAGCTAAAAGGTCAAGGATAGAAATTCATACATTATCTCTGTGTGTAACACTTTTCATGTCCAAGAAATATCTTTAAAAAAACTTTTGAACCTTTGCAATTAAATTTTGTATCTCTCCTATGGCCTTAAGAAAAAAGCCATTGATTATAAGGTCTAAGAATCAAAGGTCAAATTTCAAACATTGTGAATAGCCGGTTCCAGATGATAACCCTTTTCAATGAAATTTAAAATAAAAATGTCTTAAAACAACAGCACAAAGATTGAGTTTAAGGTGAAAATGTCAAAGGTTATGGTCATGTTCGTGGTACGAAATTCATACATCTCGTCTGTGTGTAACACTTTTCAGACGATATCTTTATTTTTTTTTTTTTTTATTTTTTTTTTTTTTTTTTTTTTTTTTTTTTTTTTTACAGATTTCGAAGCGATATTTTACAACGCAACTCTTTTAAGACCTATCTAATTTGAGATCAAAAGATCTAATGTCAAAGACAGCAATGAAAACGCTGCAAATAAAAGTTTCCATACTATAGCTTCAGTATTCTTTAAGCTTCTTTCAATGAAATTTTATAAATCAAGCCCCTTGGTATTAAAAGACTACAATTGATTTGGAGGTAAAAAGGTCAAAAGTCAAGGTCAGAATTCATACATTCTGTCTGTGTGTAAATCTCTTGTTTCCGGATTATATCTTGAAATAGTCTTTGAGATCTTGCAATGAAATTTTACATCACATCTCTCTATGGCAAAACGAAAACCGTTATCGATTTGAAGTCAAGAGGTCAAAGATCAAGGTCAAAAAATTATTTATTGCATGAAATAATTTCCAGAAAAAAAAACTTTCGTTCTTTTTTATCCTTTTTTAATAAGTTATATATCTGATGACTTTAAATTAATATTTTCAGGTGTTAATGTCAAAGGCCAATGTTAGAAATTCATACATTGCAAAAAAGGTTTCCACTTTTCTACCTTGATCTTTTTTTTTTCAAATTTTATATAACTCCAAATGACTTAAAGAAGACCCTTGTGATTTTTAGAGGCAAATTATAGGGGAAAGTGCCTCTGTCCAGTAAAGTATGAATACTGCGGTAAGGTAATCTTAGTATATAAATTGTGTTATGAAGTTAAATTTACTTGTTTGGTGATATGTACATCATTATGTCTTCGATGTACTATAAGCACGATTAACATATCATTTAACTCCGAGAACAAAAAAAAAATAAAACGTTCAGGCATAGCATGATATAATTGAGCATTATTAGAAGATTTCGGCAAAAATTGTCCGAATCCTCAAAGAATGGTAAACATTCGACCTTAATTATAGCATAATGAATTAAAGTGTATTTTGAAGGAATGTTTTTTGCATAATTATGTTCCCCAAACGGAGTTTGGGAACATATTGTTTTTACTCTGTTTCTTATTATTATTATTGTTATTATTATTATTATTATTATTCTTTTTTCTTCTTATTTCTTCTCCGGTACTTTTTTGTCCGCGAGTGTTCTCGGAAACTGCTCATCCAATTGAGTTAAAACCTTTTTAGGGTTAATAGGCATATTATGTAGATTTGCGGAACAAAGGTCATTTTGCGCGCACATGCATGCACGTGCGTGCGCGTGCAATGGGTAAAATGACCAATATACTTGATATAGCTGTAATTTTTATATTTTTTGGTGAAATGCTTTGATACTCAGAATATAAGGATATATTAAAAGTGTGAACAAGATGACATGGTCAACATGCACATGCATGCGCGTGCGCGCACGCGCAAGGCGTAAAATGACCAATTTACTTGATAATATCGTAACTTTTATACTTTTTGATGAAATGCTTTGATACTCAAAATATTTATATATATAGAAAGAGTAGGCAAGATGACATGGTCAACATGCACATGCATGCATATGCATGCACGTGCGCGCGCGTGCAATGTGTTAAATGACTTATATAATTAATATAGCCGTAATTTTTATATTTTTTGATGAAAAGCTTTGATATTAAGAATATATATATATATATATATATATATATATATATATATATATATATATATATATATATATATATATATATATATATATATATATATATATATATATATATGTGTGTTAAAAGTGTAGACAAGATGATTTGGCCATGATGCACATGCATGCACATGCGCGCGCGTGCAATGTGTTAAATGACCAATATACTTAATATAGCCGCAACTTTTATATTTTTTGATGAAAAGCTTTGATACTATGAATTAACAGACATATTATAAGTGTACACAAAATGGCATGGTCATTATGAACATGCATGCATGTGCGCGTGCGCGCAATGCTAAGATGACCAGTATGCTTGATTTAGCCGGAACTTATATATTTTTTGATGAAATGTTTTGATACTGAGAATATAAAGATGCATATATAGTATAGACGGGATGACTTGGTCATCCTGCACATGCATGCACGTGCGCGCGCGTGAAATGCAAAAAATGACAAATATACTTCATTGCCTTATTTAATGAAGCTTACAGGAAAAAAAGT